CTCTGTCTTCTGCTCAGAAGCAGGGGACCTGCCTTACACACAGAACTGGCAGGTGGGAGATGGCCCTTATTGCCACAGGAACACAAGATTGGTACAGTGAAATCAGAACTTCAGAGCAGCACCCTCAGCAGGGAGGGCACGTGCAGCAGTTTCTTGTTCTGTGCTACTCTTTCACAGCCCATTCAATCACACTTGGTCTCTTGTTGCCTATGCAAAGGCTTATTCTGCCCTAAGAACAAGACAACACCCCTCTGCCACATTCCTAAGTGTGCTTCCAGAGATGCAAAAAACCAGAATAATGGAAATTGATAGGTCAGCAAAAAAGACACTTCACTTTTCAATAAAAAGGAACAATGCAGCTCTTATTTTTCTTGAATCCTCCATTGTTTGGAATACTTCTTACAATGTCTGAACAGTTTCTCTTTTTCCTCATAACTGTCAAGCTTCCTTTCCCTCCCACAGAAGCATTCAACAGAACTTAAGCACATCAGGAAGGACTGGGACATCTTGTTAGCGTCTCCTACTGGGATCTGCTGCATTTGGGGCTCTGCCTATCAGTTTGGAACTCTTTGTGTGATTCCCCACTGTAAAAACCACATCCTTTAGAGCTGGTTCATCAAAAGCAGTACTCACAGCTTCACCAAATAATAAGAAACCAGCATATCAGTAATGAAAAAAAGCAAATTTAATAAGAGAAATAACCAACTTCATACCTAAAAGTATGAACAATAACAAAAGAATATTTGGTTTTGAGTATCAAAATTGAATTGATATTGCCTTGTTACATGAATACTCCATGGAGACTTACCAGTTCTTTTTAAATCAGAACCTGTTTGAAACAAGCTTCATCAGGAAAAGAATATACAGAGGAGAGACTTACAGACAGATTTGTCAGGAGCTATCACAGCCTAAGCTGTTGGCATCTGGACTGTCTGGGTCATATCTGATTTGGGTCTCCAGTGAAAATGAATTTAGAGATTCCAGCCCAGTCCCCCACAGGCATGTGGCCAAATCACTCACACAGGCAGTGTGCTCAGGAATGCAAAGAAATGGGATGCTAAAGGTCACACTGAGGCATCTCCTTACAATCCTAGAATTTTTAACTCCTTGCCTTCAGAAATGGCACTGAAGCAGGCACTCACCTGGCTTTTTGGAAGAACATCACATATATTTTAAACACTTGAAACTTGTGAAAAAAACCCCCACATATACAACTCTTCACGTGGAGTTGTAAATTATATTTAATATTTCAGAGGTGATACAGCAGTTGTAGGAAGTCATGAAGTATTTCTTACTTCAGTGCTGCAATGGGTATTTGACCTGGGAATCTGATACACACACTGCAATTCCACAATCATTTCTAAACTCCTTGGAATCCAGAAGCAAAAGGCAAAAATCCCTCAGGATCAGCAGGAGGCACTACAGACCCAGGTGTTACCTATGAAAAAGGGTCTTGCTGCATATTCATAGTGGAAACAGGTAGATTTTTATTAACCAGGTATTAATTGCATCTCCTTGTAAAGTATATACGGTGTCAGCCATACTAATAGATGGAGGAGTCACTGGCAGTTCTAATGTATCATCACTTCAGCCAAAATGAGTTCTTTAAGTGACAGAAACTTTAGTTCCATGAGGCATTGGCAGTAGAGGACGAACTCAAGATTCCCTTGTTGGAATGGAAGCCAAGGAGCTTTGCATCAAACGTGGCAGAAATAAAATTGCCCCAAGTTTCTTACCTCCCATTCACTTGCAAGCTTCACAGGCACTTCTATGCCCCTCTTCTCCAGCTGTTCCAACTTGTAATCCTCATATTTTCTGTATCCTGCATATCCCCCACCTGTAGCTACCAGGACATGGAAGGGGCGCAGGCGGAAGACTTGTCCCACTGGAGCAGTGTGAAGCTTCTTCCTGTCTGTAACACAGACACAGACTTCAGGGAAGAGAACAGCTACACAGTAAAGAGAAAGCAATCCTGTGCAGTGAGGGGTGTGAGCTTAGGGGATGAAAATGTGATCAGAAAATACCTCTGTGACACAGAAGGTATGTACAGATGCTTCTGAGTTACTGCAGCTCACCAAGTTACTGAAACTCAGCTGACCAATACTAACTGGTCATCTGTGGTTTTAACCTCACCCCCCACCCCACATGCTTACAACATTCTTCTCCCCAAAATATATAAAATGCACTCCCTGAAAGCCCCATGGAGAAATATATAAAATGAGTGTCCATGGAGAAATATGTAAAACAAGTGTCTGACAGCACTATCACACTTTCCAACTGTGAGAATATTGGTATTACGCAGAATAATCAGTTGCTGGGGAACAATCTGTACTAATGTGAAGTACTTGGTGCTTCTGAGTCATTAAAGCTTTCATTCCAGTCAGGGGATCCCCAGAATTCCAGCTAACTGGAAGAGGGAAGGAAATTATGACCTGCTTTAGTAAGGTGTCACTTTTCCTGGTAAGCAGGAAAACAGTCACATTCCTGCTGTAATACAGGTCACCACATGAAAAAAATATAAAGAAGATGTAGTATTATGGCTGTTTTTTACAGAGTAACTCCCAAACTCCTCCTGCATCACACCAGCCTTGCAGTCACTGAGCCACAGCCCAAGCACAGGGCTGGCACAGCCAGGGGAATATTTCCCTTCCACAATCTTCAGAGAATACCAATCTGTTCAGGGCTAAATCAGTATTAGAATGTGCTGCTCCAATCTGTATTACAGTCAGTCCAACTTCTCAGCAATGAGTACAAGTCATTACCTGACAGAAAAGGCCCAGAGGAACCAATTCTCGATCCTGACTGGTGTCATTTCCACAACAATCATTAACAGGGTGAGCCAGAATCAAACCCTAAATCTTGCTCCATCAAAGTCAGGCTTAGGATTTGACTATGAGAGGATGCATTAGCAACAGAAAGAATTCACTACACACCACCTCGATTTCTAGGCACCAACAGGGACAAAGCACAATTGTTTTGCAGTCTGGGAAGCTTTAGTTCCAAGTAGTAGCCCTGATTAGAAGCATTCAGCCATGATGCTGCAAAAAGATGCCCAAGAGAAGTAATTCTTGTTCACATTTTGTTTTACCAATGTAATATTTTTTGATAATTCCTTTCCTACATTTGTGATTTAAAACATTGCTTAAATTATGTGTCCTAAAATACATCATAATACAAAACCAGCTTTGTTCTTACTTAGAAAAAAAAATCTAAAACCAAAACTCAGTAAACAAACAAGGCAACAATACAGTTGAGATTCTAAAAATTATTCTTTCCTAAGGAACAATGCCCAATAAAGGAGAGGGATCATTTAGAACAGCTAACCATTTATAAATACAGACTTACTTGAGTTTACAGACTCTACAACCTTTCAACTTTGCATCACTATTTCAACAGAAATGTCTGTACACAGTCCAACGACACTCTTGAGCCCTAAAGCCTTTAACTCCCTTCCACCACAGCCTTGGTTCTGAGTTAGCAAAGCTGCTCAGCTATTTCAGCAGAGCTTTGCAAATTCCCCTCAGCAGGAACAGGTCTTGCTGGTTTGAATCCAGAGAAGTTTCTGCTCCAAGAGCCTCTTGACTGCACCGATGTGAATGTTTCTCTACCTGTGCTGGAGACCAAACCATTTGTGTTCCACAAGCCACAGCAAACACGATTTTATCTCTTGATAAACGAAGAGTTGACTTTTCCCCATCTCCAGCATTAAGGAAACAGCACTTCTGTGACCAGTCTCCAACACAAAGGCATCCAACATGCCATTGTTTTTGCCCCAACAAAATAAAATTCCACACCTTTCAGACACAAATGAAATTCACACAAGTTCACAAATTCTAAGACAAAACCACTAGTTACTGATTCTGAAAACAAATCCCTGTTCAGGCAGCTGGTACTGCTCAGGTGGCAGCTGAACATCGGGCTCTCTAATGATCTACAGCTCCCTGGGAAACAGCAAAGTGTGTGGAAAACTCATGTCTTGGTGCATAAACCACTAGAAACAAGCCCAGGATAAGAGGAAAAATGTGCTAATAACATTTTTAGATACTACCCTAAATCTGAATCCATTACAGATAAAGTTAATCCACTTCAGAATTCTCTTAAACACTGAGTATAGTCAGCATCGAGAATGAAAAGAAAATAACCACTTCTTGCTCTGGAACAGGTGAAAAAGACACATTCCCTCAGAAACATTAAAAAAAGCAGGATGAAAAAGCAAAGTGCAGAAGGCAGATGTGCTCTGGTTTCTGCAGTCAGAGGCAGGGATAGAAATGCTGCTTCGTTACTCTGCCCTAATTAAGAATTCCTTCTAGGAAAGGACACAAACACTTGGAGGAGGCTGTTACAAGGGGTAGAGAGAAAACTAAAGAGATATCTTTTCTTTCCAATGACATCATGTGCAAGTCATCTAGATTCACATCCAAATCAGAATCTGAAAACTCAATGAATTAGAAAATGACTGGTTAAAAAGTTGATTTGTTCAAAACTCAAAGCTAACTTAGACTAAAATGACCTTTTCTTCCATGTGATCAACATGATGTGTCTCAGCTTCCTAGTTTTTTTTCTGCAATGACTGTCTTGGATTTCTAGACAACAAAGAGCTGCTATTTCTATTCATCTGTGTAAGCATCTTTTTCAATAATGAAATATCCATATATGACACGCCAGACAAAGGATTTGGACAGGCAAGTTAACCCCAAAAAATGGATATAGAAAATGGGATCAATAGCTCAGTTGGCAAGGAAACAAAAACTGAAGACTCTATGCAGTGTGATACTAATATATGACAATGTAAATGCTATAAGTTCACAAACAAATATTTCTTAAAAACACATATATCTGATATTCCAGCATTACCCAGCCAGAGGAACTCTGAGTGCAAGTACCATTTTAACCAAGTCTTAAGCATTTCATGTAAACCTGCTCTGATTTCCTGATTTATTAAAATTACAAGTACAGATTGAAATATAAAAGGATATTTATACCTTTTCTTTCTTACAGGCCCTGTTAAACTGCTGAAGTCAGAATTTCTCAGGTTTTTCGAGGTGAACAGCTGATAGGAGCTGCACTACAAAGCAGGTAAAGCAGCTGAATATTCTAAATATGAGTATGGTGCTTTCTATTATGCATTATATAGAGAGTTTGATGTTGCCCTTCTCAGTGTCACCTCATGTCTATCATTATTCCCCTGGCTTTTGTACTGATAACAGAAATCATTTCAGTTGTCAGGCTCATTATTCATGACTGTGCTACTACAAAGACCTCTCAGCCAACATCCACAGACTCTTTCAGGGCACCTCCACGATCTTGTCCAACCAAACAAGGGCACGGGCACCCCCAGCCTGCTCCCTGTCTGTGCTGTCCTGCTGGAAACACTCCAGAGCAACAGAACACTTCAAAATGCTACAGGATGTACAAAAGCATTAAACTGATGTAAAAAAATTTCAGATTTCAAAGCGATGGGGAATGACACGATGTAGGTGTGGAAAGTACACACACTGCTGGCTCAGCAAGTCCATTAAAGCAGGGGTTTTTAATACAAAAACACTGTCCTAACATGAGTCACTCTGGTAAACCATATCGTGTCTTTAAAAACGTAATTTTTGAACTGTAGATGCCTCAGAAAACTAACTGATGTGCAGAAATTAAGAAAAAATACACCTATGGTTAATGGGTTTTAATTTGCTATAAAGGGATCATCTTCACTAGAAAAAAAATCATGTTTTGAAAGGTTTAAAAGCAATGAAAAACAGCTCATAATGAATCTTATGAAATAAGTAAATACACTTCTTTTACTATCTGGAAAACATAACACCAGAGGAGTAAAACATAATTTGCAAACTTGTATCTGTGGAAATGCCTCGAATTGTTCTCTGATGCTGCACTCCCACTTCTGCTTTTATTTCAAGAAATTCATATTCCCCAATATGAGACCATAATTTGCTTAGCCTGGAGTAACCCTGAATTTAAAAGCACTGGTAGACACAAGCCACCACTTACCACTGAAAAATGTCCTGGAAGGCGGCTGCTTCCAGAGGACCCCAGCTCTGACACACAGGTTCTTCTGGAGCAGGAGGTTACAGCTCCACACCAAACTGCAAACACAACAAACAAGAAGAGTTGCTTAAGTACAAATGTTTAATAATGCAGATGTCAGCAGTTCAGCGCAGTGACAATCTTACAGTAAGAAGCTTCTGACATAACACGTACCTGCATCCCAAGGTAATGTTTATAAAGGGCAGAGCTGAATTCAGCCGCGCTGATCAAAACCAACTGCTTGCAAATGGAATGGTAAATTTTATAATGATTGTTTAGCACTTGGGATTATTCCATCTCCACCAGGGTGCTACTCAGGTGTGTCATTTAGGAACATCCTACAACAGCAACTATCTAAAGAGACATGATTTGGTTCATGTACCTTTTTCCTCACCATCCTGGTGGGGGGAAGGAGTACCTGGAAAAGCTACGGATTTTATGAAGAATTAATGGCATTTGTTAGACCAACTGGTGTAGCTAGAAAAGTAAAAAGGCTGCCAGGTACAGCAGCTCTTCTTTAGAATTTGTCTTACCACTCTGTTTGCTGGTGAACTGCAGTGAGAGTGGTTCTGCCCCTCTGAAAACACAGAATATACACTTGGAACTGCCCACCATAGGGAAAAGGTTAAACCAGGACTTTCATATGTTTAATATTATATATTTCATTTCATGTTTCTAATAAATCTGAAAAGCCATCCAGTCGTAAGAGAACTGTTCAAAGCCCGTAAACAAGCACGTTTAAACAAGTACTTGACTGTGGCCTGGCAAGAGCCCATCGTGCTGTCAGGCAGGATCACAGGGAGGAGAGGGGGCAGTGTTCCCACACCAACAGGCTGAAGCCCTTGGGAGGAACCAGGCCTGGCAGGTCTGTGGGCAACCCAGTCATTCCTGAGATGCAATGGCACAGCTGGGATGTCTTCATTTGGCCCTCTGGCCTTTCATCTGCTCCTGATCAGATATACACCGAGGACAGAGTTGCTTCATTAGCTTACAAGCTATTGCATCATTTGGGGCCATTCAATCCCAGGAAGTGATTATAAAGAATTTAAACAATTAACTTAAGGTATCTACTGAGTTACATATAGACACGATCCCTTTATTTTGAAGCAGATTCTACAAATAGCAGATTTCTTGTCTAGAAATCACATAATGATACTACAGACACTTGTCAACAGTGTTTTACCATTAGCCAAGGACAAAGAGCTACAGTTTTCACTTATCCCCGGGGCAGTGGGGTGGAATAGCTCACTCTACCTTCATGGTAATCCAAATATGACAGGACAGACCCTCCCCAAAACCCAGATTCCTGTTAGCAGGTGCTAAACATGCCACACTGCTGCATCATCTCCCAGGATAATACTTCCTTGGCAAGGCAGAAAGAGAGTCCCCACAGCTGCAGAACCTGTATGTTTTACAGAGCAACACGCTGTTATTTGTCATGAACAACGAGGTCAGCTGACACTGCTGGGTCACACACCAGACCTACACCAATCTGTGCTATTACAAGGCCTGTTTTACAACATATTAAAACACTGGGGTAAAAGGAGCACTTGCTCATCAGCAAGGTGGAAGCCTGTGGGCTACTTCGAAGGCAGTCAAAAACTGAAGTAATCCAGTTAGCATTAGACTTAAATTTACCAGAGAAGTTTTCAAACCCTAAAAGGTAATGGAGGAAAAAATATTAAAACCTAGCTACAGCCTAAGGCATTAGTATTCAAGACATTTATTAGCCTTCATACATGACAGCCAATAAAAAGTGCAGAGCCAGAACAGATGAGCTGCCCCGGCTTCAGAGGAGCCGCAGGAGCTGTTCCTGCTGCCGGGGCAGGGCAGGGCATTCCGGGACATGCCACTTCCTCAGCCGGCTCAGCACTGAGCAAGGACACTCCCTGCACACCCTAAGCTCTTACCCAAATTGTTTCTGGCGCCCAACATGGGAAAATCAATTTACGCTGAAATCTGCCTACAAAGAGGTAAAGATGACAAGACTAAACAGTCTCACCCTCCCTGCTCCTGACAGCCTGATCTTGGTGGGTACAAGAGTGTTGACCTCCTGCCTCTGCCACCCGACCGGAGGCTCTTGGAGCGGGAACTGCCAGGGAATTCCATGGTAATTCAGCCTCTCGGTGACTTCAGTCTCTGGACAAGAGAAAACCCTCGGCTGTCGGCACCGAGCCGGAGGTGACAGCGCTCTGTGCACAAGGTGTTCGCTCCAGGTTCTGAGAGAGAAGGTGGAGTAAGGGGGCTGTGTGTTCTAAGAACACAAAACTGTGGCCTAGAAACGCTGTTCTTTAATCAGTTTAGTTGTTATAAAAAGCACAACCTGTAAGAGGATATCTCCTGCAAAGGACTGTCGGTGCCCGGCCAGGTCCTTCTCAGAGCCATCCTGCCCCGGGCTTGCATAATCCGAGGGGCTGTAGCTGCCCCCCATCAACCCATTCCTACTAAACACTTACACACTGACACCTACAGACTGTGAAACCGAGTTAAAACTATCAAAGGCCACGCGCTTCTCTTTCTTAAAATACGTAAACCCCTTATCTTCCCTTCCAGCTTGGGGCACGAGTACAAGGCTCCTCGCACATGCCAAGGACGGGGCCGAGGCAGCAGAGACAGCGGCGTTCACCATGGTAGGGAAACGTCAGCGGGAGAGGAGGGAGAGGAGGGAGAGGAGGGAGAGGAGGGAGAGGAGGGAGAGGAGGGAGAGGAGGGAGAGGAGGGAGAGGAGGGAGAGGAGAGAGAGGAGGGGGCGGCTGCGGCCCCTGGGCCGGGAGAGGCCGGATCAGCGCCCCAGCTGCTCCTCACGCCCCCCGCCCGCGGGGTGCCGGCTGTCAGACAGGGCTGCCGGCCCCGGACAGTGACAATAACAGTGACAATGACAGCACCAGCCCCGGCCCCACCTGCCGTGCCCGTACCTGCTCCGCGCCGCCATCTTCCCGCACCGCCTGTGCCGCGGCCCGCGCGGGAGGGCGGGAACTGCGCGCGGGACGGGGCCGGGGCGGGGCCGGCGCTGTGAGGGGAGCGGGCGGTCCCGGGGACGGGCTGCGTGTATGAGGAATTCCTTGGAATTCCCCGAGGGAATACGGCGTGTAGAGATGGGGTCATTCCTCAGGGGAGACGCGGAATGGGGGCACGGGTACGACGCTGTTCGCCAAAGGGGGGTTTAGTATGGGGTGAGGGCTGTTCTCGGGGGTGGGGGAAGAGGCCGTCGCTGAGGCGATGTGGGGAACAGGGCCGGTGAGGGGACGTGGTGTGGGGACATTTCCCGGGGGATTAGTGTGGGGACAGCGTGGTGGTCCCTGAGGGTTTGTGGAGTGTGGATGAGGTTGAAGAGGGGGCCACTGCTGGGGAGTTGTGGATGAAGTAGGAGGAGTTCAGCTGCTGCTCAGCGCTGCCGTGGAGGGACAGGTGAGTTCTTGTCCACAGGTGTGGGAGCACCAGGGATGTCAGGGCAGGAATTTTAGGGAGAGGACACTCGGCATGGGACAGACACAGTGCTGTTCCTCCCAGTGAGATGTCTGGCAGGGTAGTGCAGTAACATCTGTTCCTACTCTGGTGTCCCTTGCCTGGATCCTAGCAGCACAGTGAATTTTACAGAGATTATTTGCTTTTCCACCATCTTAGATGCATACCTAGATAGATGCATAGATGCTACATTACTGGGAAGTAGCTAATTACCTTTCTTTGACAGTGGCAGGGGGGTAGTTTCACAGGGTGAATCAGCAGGAACAGAATTCCAGTCCTTCCACTGTGTTTCAGAGCTTTAGGACATGATCCTCAGGCAGTCCTGATTAATTTAAATTTGTGATTGATGTTTATTTGTTTTCCCAATCAGGCCTGAATGAGGTCTACACCACCTTCATGTCATTCTGCATTTTTCACATCACCACAGGCAGCAGTAGTATCTGTATAAATATCTTAGACATGTGCAGAAAAGCCTTTCATTGTTAAATATGTAACATTTGAGCAGAAATCCAGATGCAGCCCTCATGTAACAGTCATACTATTAACTGATTGAATTGTTGGGATGTACCTATCCTGTACATAATTGTAGGATTGTCAGGAAGTAAAACTTCAAAGAAGGTGGGGTTTGACAGTGTTGGGTGCTTTGGTACAAGCCCTGCAAGAGCCATTAGCTTTGATGTCTAACAGCTGGTGGGCCTGACAGACAAGTTTCCCCAGAACTGACTCAGAAGGGATTCAGAGGTTAAATGTAACACACTTGTTTATAGTGTATAATAATTGTCACAGACTGAACTGATTAATGACCTGTCCTAATCTAATCTTTCTCCTTGGAATTAAAAGTAAATATGTGGACATTTAACTATTTAAAAATCGCTTTTATCATGTGTTTTGTTCTTACATTCGTAGGGGATTTTTAACATCTGGTAAGACTATAAAACCTGCATTCACTGAGGGATAAAACACACTCCCCTCAGGTACTGAGCTGTGTTAGGCTGTGCAGGTGAGCCAAGTCAAAGGGGGGCTGTTCTCCTGTTCTCTTTTTCATACCACAGCTGTTCTTTTAGAAAATGAGAGAGTGGAGGTCTTGGAGCTTCAGAACTTTTGTTCAGGGAGTGCAGGAAGGAGTGAGAAAAGCCTGAAGTTGAATGGGGCTCGGAGCAACCTGGTCTAGTGGAAGGTGTCCCTGAACAGGGAAGGGGGTGGAATGAGATGACCTTTAAAGTCCCTTCCAACCGAAATCATCCTGTGATTCTGTGTAACTCCTGTGATCAGATCAGTAACACCCCAAAAAATGTTGCAGATCTAGAGAGGCAACCTGTGAAACTCAGAGATCAGCAATCTGAGTGTGAAAGAAGCAAGTGGTGGATGATGACTGGGTATCATGAGGGAAGGGACATAAGGCAGCAAAAGAAATCTGGGAGAAGTAACTGCAAAAATAGGTGAAGCAGACAAGGTACTAAGGAAATCCGTAAGGAAATCCGAAAAAGGGAAAGAAAGTTAGGCTTTCTTCCTCCAGGACTCTTGGAATAGTTAATTGTGTCCTGAACAGGAAGGATGAAGCATATTAACAATAATTTATGCATCAGATCAGTGTGCCTGTCTATAATAGAATAGAATATATATTGTATATTATATAAAAATATATATTTTATATATAGCATATATGTATATATGTGTGTGTATTTTCCCTCTGCCATAGAATTAATGATGTTAATGGCTGCTGTAAAGTAATTAAGAGGTAATAATACTCCAGGCTAAGTGTTAGAAAACAGGGAAATAAGGCAGTCTGGATGACATTGATGTGCTGGAATGGAATGAAGAGAATCAAGATAGTCAGCAGTGTCACAGCTCTGTTCTGATTTCATAGGAAGGCATAGGATTACTTTTTGTTAAAAGTTACTCAGTAGATAAACCATTATCAGGTGAACAAAATAAGGTAAGAAGGACCCTTCAGTGTTCTGTAGAGAGATATGGTCAGTAGTTTGGACAATTCACTTAGCTTTAGGTGTCTTTGTTGTAAGATAGGTTCAAGTCCTACCCACCTTCCAGAAGCATTTTGAAAAAGCAGAAGCACAATTTATTTCTTAAGCAGAGGATTACATCTCTTCCTGTGTCTGATCAAAACAAAGCAGAAAATGCACAGATTTTTTCTATCTGCGGGTAGGACTAGGACACTGCCCCTTTCTCCTTTGCATACAAGGTTATACCATCCCCTGACAGTTTGTTTGTTTTCTTAAATCTTGGTTTATCCTTGTTGATGCCTAAAACCCCTTTGTTATCTTCCAGAAGCTTTGGTCAGCACTGTGGAATTCCTGGTATGAGAAGGCAGAGAGTCAGGGTAGAGAGAAGATCCTTGCTGAGCTGCTGTAACCATGAAGACAGTGATTTTAATCGTCCTAATCATCTTCTCTTCACTCTCCTCAGGTAAGGCTGATGCAGAGAGGGAGAGAGAAAGGTGACCTCTGGGAGGGTGACCTCCAAACTAATATGTGCTTTGGTTTTGTTTTCTTCTGCGCAAAGAAGTTGCAGCCTGAGCTGTGCCTGTGCTTTCCTTTTGCCTGTATTTTTCCTGTTTGATCATTGGCAGATGGTGACCCTGTTAGTTTTGAAGCTGCTTGATACGCTCAGTGTATCCTTAGTGATTCAGGGAAGGTTTGTTTCCTTTGAATAGTTGGGATCTGGGTACTCATTAATGCTGTCAAAATGAGTCAGTGAACTTCAAGCTGCTCCCCTCTAAATCCACAACGGATTCTCCTTGGAATTGTGCTCAATTAGCATCAAAACAAGTGGAGTACTAATGTCTGATGCTATGCTGGAAGAAATAAAAACTTTCATCTTTTAATTATAAACATGACTTATTCCAGGCAATATTTTTGTGTAATATAATAGATCACCAGAGGGTCAAATGCTGAAACATCTGGAAATGACAATGTAGAGATGTTGTGGTGTTTGCTGGGCATTCAGTCCTGGGTTTCATTACATGGCTTAAGATTCTCTCGAGTTACGGTAACTGCAAGGTCTTAAACTGAGGGTTTTTTTTGTGAAATCCTACAAGTCTTGACTTCTTTTTTGATGCTACAGGAAAGAAATTCCGCTGGTGCACCCTGTCTGACCTGGAGCAGAGGAAATGTGCCGAGCTGTCCAAGGCACTCACGGCCGTGCTGCCCCTCGCCACTGCCAGTTCCTTTGCCAGGATTTCTTGCATCAGAGCCCACAATACCTATGACTGCATTGATAAAATCAGAGTGAGTTCACAGAGATTTTTTTAAAGCTGATTTTGAGTCCAGATCCTCTTTTAAAAGAGTAATTGGCAAACAGAATCTATGGGAGAATAAAATGATACTGAAAAGATAGAACTGCATGTATGCAAAGTGCATGGTTGCTTGAGAGGCAAGAGTTAATCCTCATGAGCATTCTACTAGGCATACTGTTTCATCCCAGCTGATGCCCTTGCAATCTCCAAGAAATATAGAAAACTGCTTGGAAATAAATGGATAAATCCAAACTATTAAAGTAGAACTTGCTCAGAGCATTTCCCTTGTTTGTGTGTTCTGGTCCTACTCCGACTGTAATTAATATTCCCTTTCTTCCATACTATTTTTAGCCCCTAGTCAGTCTTTTCTGAAGTAAAGAGCAAAGTCTTTTTCATATAAAAAATTTCATTTTGAATAAAATTACACATCAGACCTATTGTAAGTGTAAGCTCTTGTAATTGAGCAGTTCTGAAATGGAATTTTCATAATGCTAAATGCTTTGACAAAAATCATTAATGGAAAAGGAAGATAAGCATTTGCTGTAGAATAATTTCATTAACATTTACATTCAGTCCTGGTTGCCTTCAAAAAATGGAGTCCAAATCTGACCTGGAAAACACAACGAAGAAAACCTTTCTTGTTGGTTCAGGGTATAATTTATTTCATGTTTTCATTCAGTCTTGCAGCTATTTTAAATAAAATTCAGTTCAACTTCCTGGGTTATGGAAAGATTATACCCAGGAGAACTCTGAGAAGGATTTGGGGTCTAGGGGAGCAGTAGGGGGAGATTGGAGTTGCCTTTTTCTTCACTTGACATCAGAATTGTGGTTTTGGAATGGAAGACCCAGAGAAGAAGGGAGAAAGAATGTTAGTGGAAAAGAACTGGTATTTTTTGAAGGTAACTCAGCCTTCACTGCTAACATTTCACCATGTTTTGTAGCAGGGGTTCAATTAAAAATGAAGCAAATGCTTGTAAAAATCACTGATTACTGCTTCTCAAGCAAAAAAATGTGGTCTTGAAGCTTCTGCTTGTTTTCTTGTAAACACAGTTGTTTTGAGAGTTTTGCTGTTGTTTTTAAGGCAAATAAAGCAGATGCTGCTTCCTTGGATGCTGGAGATGTTTACTCTGCTGTAAAACTTTATGGTTTGGCAGTGGTGGCAAAGGAGATCTATGACCAAGGTAGGCTGGTAAAGCAAAAGAATAAGCTGTACTTCTGATTTGGCTAAGAAATTACTCTAGAGTTCTTGAAAAAAAAATCTGTTTTTTTATTAACTTTATAGGAGTATGGAGGTGGTAAACAACATTTTCTAAAATACTTAGTAATGATGAATAAAATCCCAGTGGTGCTTTGTACCCAGCAACCTTTCTACCTGTGGCACTGACACTGTGACAGACTGACTGTACCTGCCCCTGCCCACAGCACTGCTGGGCTGGAGCTCTGGATCTTATAGGGAATAAGAAGGATTTTATTCCATCTGTGTCAATTCTTACACCATGCTCTTTATCAGCATAACTGAACGTTTACTATCAGTTCTTTAAAAGATTATCTTCTCTCATGAATTAATTCTCCTTCTCACCCTAAAAGGCAAGAATATAAGGGGGAGAATCTTACCATGGTAAGATTCCTATTCTCTCCTGTCAGTCCTGAACAGTTTGCAATGAGTGATTTGTAAGGCAAGAATAAATAAGTCTGAGCCCAAATCAAGCATGCAGTAGAAAATACCATGGGACATGAGTCTGAGAAGGAAGCCAAATTAGCAGATGGATGTAGGAAGAGATTAATAAGGAGAAGGTATGAGAACAGAGATGGACCTTGTTTTGGCTGACACACCATGAAATGGTGAATATGTTCTGATGATGAGACATAGGAGTTCTTTCTATTAAAATACCTAAAGAGTGTGATGCAAATGTTCAAAATTCTTGAGAAGCAGTTGTATTGTGTGATGGAGCTGGATGGGCTTGTGAGCTTTTTCCACCAGATTTTTACGTTCTTGCTTGCACATCACTGGCATCACTTGTTTGACAAGGTGCCAGGTACCCAGTGTAGGGTTAAGTTTCTGGCATCAGCACCTACATTTAATCTGCCTGATGTAGATTTTTCCTTGGCCATGTTCACAGAAGTTATTCAACTCCTGTACACAGATGGAAGCTGCAGAATTGGGATATATTTTTTCCTTCTGTTACATATTTTGTCCTACTGCAGGAAATTGTGTGTTTGCTGTGGCCGTTGCCAAACGAGGAACTCTGGATATCCAGAGGCTGCGAGGTGTGCGCAGCTGCCACAATGGAGCCAGGTGGACATCGGGCTGGAATATTCCATTTGGCTTCCTCCTTGCAAGAAATGACCTTTCCTGGGATGAGGCACAACCTCTGAGCCAAGGTGGGTGATAGGAGCCACAGGGCTCTGCCCTCAGCAAGAGTAAGTGAAATGCCAGCAGATGTGGGATGAACTGGGCTGTGTGGAAATTCAGGGGATTTATGGATACTAGATCCTCTTGGAGTGTTTTTGCTACTGGCTCTTAGCTCGCTTCAGAGCTTTTCCAGTGATCTCAAAGCATCAGAGTTGTTACCAAAACAAGAAATCTTTGTGTTCTATATGCAGGGAGCAAATCTTTGCAATATCTAACCAGCACAAAGCAAAATTTGATCGCTCTGTTAACAGCAAATGTTTTGGATTTGGAGTGTAGAGAAAGTTAAAGCTGCATTTGAAGAATTTATTTATTTGTAAATCCACCATAGTCTTAGTTATGTCCATGATATGTGTGGCCCCTTTTCCTTATTTTTGTTTCCCCCCATTTGACTCCTTTCTTTCTTTTTGTTTTGTTTTGTTTTTTCCCCAACATCCACAGCAATCAGTGAGTATTTCAATGCAAGCTGCATCCCTGGGGTTGGTGTTGCTGCTCCTCGACTGTGTGCTCTCTGCCAAGGACAAAAATCCTATGTCAGAGACAAGAACCACTTCTGTGAGACAAGCAGCAATGAACCCTTCTATGACTCCGAGGGAGCCTTCAGGTTAGCTCTGGGACACTGGGACTAAATTCACCTTTGGGGCAAAAAGAACTTGTAAGGGAGGAAAGCCAGGTGACATATTAATAGGATGGCATTTGTCTTCCTGCAGGTGCTTGAAGGAGGGGGTGGCAGATGTTGCCTTTTTAGATCATCTAAGAATTCTGAGTACCACAGGTAATCCTAAAAACTCAGATTGCTTTTAATCTATGGCTGTGCTCTTTTCTGCAGAGGAGTTTGGGGGTTATGCCAATATTTATGTTGTTTCCAGTGAAAATTCAATCAATGTGAGCAGCTCAATAGTATTTCTTGGCTCTTCACACAAGGAAACAGAAGAGGAAAGGGTAAGTGAGCAATAATTGCTCACAGGAGATTCTTAGAATGGAAGCATAAAGATGTTTTTATACAGGTGATTTCTTTAGACTGAAGTCTCTGACAAAGCTGCCAGTACTTGCTTTGCCTGAGTTATAAGATTCCTTTTTAAATTCAATGTGTTGAGGTGCTGGGATGTGAAGTTCCTGTATACCTGCTTTGTACTTTTGAACTCAGTCGATGTCTTTACTGATGTTTTTGAAGGTGGTTAGCAGTAGTGTTAGCAGGTCAGTATTTTTAAACAAACATAGTTACAGAGGTACCATTTAAAGGGCACCTCTGGCTGAGATCTCTCTCTTTGTTAAGAGAAGAACAAATCAAAGACCACTCTCCCAAGTGCTCTTGGTGCCCTGTGCTGCCTGCATAACCTTTGAGCAACCTCCCCTGAAATATGCCTTACATTCCCTCTCTGTGCCTGCTGCCAAGTCATGGCTCACTTGGCAGATTCCTGAGTGTTTCCTTGTTTCAGAGTCAGAAGAACAGGAATATGAACTCCTGTGTCCTGATGGGAGCACAGCTGAGCTGAGCCAGTACAGCACCTGTAACCTGGGCAAGGGGCCCGGCCGGGGCATCGTCACCCGCAACAACTTCCACAAGATCACCAACAAATTCCTCAGCATGATCCAAGTGAGTGCATATTATAAGCTGTAGATCTCCAGACACAGGTTTTTCTTCCATATTTGTGTGGTGATTACCTCCCAGTTTGCCTTTTTTCTTGAGAAATTCGTAGTTAGTGTGAATAAAGCCCTAAAAATTGTTTGTTCTGGGGAAGTGTCCTGCACTGGCTTCTGGAAGGTTTTACTTTTCTCTGAAGTGTTCTTCTGTAGGAGGCTGGGAATAAATAAGTAAAGAAGGGGAAGATGCCATAACACCCAAACTGCAAAATGGCTGATGATGTTCACCCTACCCTGGAACTTAAGTGAATTTCTGTGTAGCTGAGGGAGATGTGCAGGTTCTGTCAGGGCTCACCTTTCTTCCTCTTTTTTCTTCTCAACTTCTGAATGGTGTCTGATATCTTGGCATCTGGAATCTGTTTGAAGCTGAACTTGAAATGCATGTTTAAAGAATTTATGAAGGCACTCAGCCCTTAAATTAGTTCAGTAGACAGTGAATAATTCACCCCAGTGGGCTGGGCTGTGCTGTCACGCAGACTCTGGTAGAGAGCAGTTGTACAAAATCTTTCCTTTATTGAGAAACTTCATGTGCCTTTGTCAGTGCACTTATTAACACATCTTAGCTGTGCAGCAGAAGTCCTGCTACACTTCTCAGTGCTTTCTTCTCTCCCAGTGCCATCAGGCTGAATGGAGCTGCTTTGCACGTGCTACTTTCCAGTCATAAAGTACAAGATATCTTTGCACCCCTTTGCTGCACAAATTTTTCTCACTCAGTTTTGCTTCCTTGATTGCCTTGCCAGGGTAGGGGACACTGAGCACAGCCTAATAAATTGGAATAACTAAAATAGGAAAAAAACCTTTAAAAAAGTGAACCATGTAATGCTTTTAGGACTGGAACCATCTACTCACTGCAGTACCTGTGAGGTTTGTTCTGAGTGCTGTGTTACAAAGCACTGATGTGAAGGGAGGGAAGGATGAGGCTGCCTATTACTGGAAGAATGAGCAGATTTGTTGCAATTGAAAGTGTTGTTCTTGTCCCAGTGCCTCTTTGGGCGAAAAGGGAAGGAAAGAGCCAGATTTGAACTCTTCACTTCAGCTCCCTTTGGGGGAAAGAACCTGCTGTTCCGAGATGCCACTCAGCACCTGCAGCTTCTTGAGGAGCAGCTGGAGATTGCCTATGTCCTTGGTCTGGATTATGTAGCTCTCCTTAAGGGACTGGGCCATGAAGGTGAGAAACCTTCCAGAGGATTGTACCTAAGGAAAGGGAAGAAAAAGTTCTCCTTTCATGTAATTCCTCCCTGCCAGGCACAAGTGCATAGACCCAAACATCCCCTTACCAAATAACAGATTGGTGCATTGGTGACATGATCTCACTGTGCTCCTTCCCTCCCTCTCAGGGAGCTCTTTGGAGAACAGTGTCGTGCGCTGGTGCTGCATCAGCGATGCTGAGCTTCACAAATGTGAGGAGTGGGCACTGAGCATCAAATCCGACCCCTTAGTCTGTGTCCAAGCAACTTCCATGACCAAATGCATTGAAATGATCAAGGTAGGAAACTCGCTCTGCCCGGAGTGTGCGATAAGAGTGCACAGGGTGTGTATGTCCTGGTCTGACCTGAACTAGAGGAGAACCAGCTTGTACACCAGAGGAACAAATGGGAATGAGAGGGAATTTGTGCAGGGGAATTTCTAACCTGTGGAGAAGCAGAGCTGCTTGGATACACAACTGATGCCAATCCTGGTTTTGTTCTTTTCTGGAATGCTGCTGGCAGAGCAGTGAGGCGGACGCGGTGACCCTGGACGCGACACACGTCTACATCGCAGGGAGGTGTGGGCTGGTGCCTGTAGCTGCAGAGTGCTATGGTGAGTTCTCATGTGACCTTTTCAAGGAGAGAGGGAGTCAAAAAAGCGCCATTAAGAATACAGTCAAATTTCTACAGTTTATGATGTTTTGTGATGGAAGCAGGAATTAATATATGTGTCCAAATACTCTCCCCAGCTGCTCCACTAACTGTCTCTAACATTTGGTCTGTTTATTACATCCCTTCTGTAAAAGGGACAGACGTGCTGGTGTGGCTGAAGAGGATCACAAGGGTTTTGTTGATGTGCTGCCATGTAAAAGGAATGACAGTAGTGGCAAGATCCTTAATAATTGTCTCTCCTCTCCAGGGGGAGATTGTGCCCAAGCTGCTGAGAGCATGGAGAAAACAGGAAAACTAATTCATGTTAAGCACAAAGGTAACAGAACAACTTTGAGAGGGCAAAATGCTTAGCTTTTCCTGAGACTGCTCTAGGGTTTATGTAAGAATGTATTTGCATGTTTGTTTGGAAAAGAATTTTCTGGTTAGGACAAGAGCTTTGTGGCTAAGCAAAGAATGCAGGTCCTGTACTGCAACTGAAGATATTGTGACAGCATGAGGGAGGGAAGAGGGGGCTGTACCTGTCTGGAATACGTAATTGACTTGGTATAACCAGTTTTTGTCATTGTTTTGCAGCGCTGCCACCTGTTTATGCTGTTGCCTTAGCTAAGAAAAGTGCCAAACAGATTAACATCCATAACCTCAAAGGAAGGAGGTCCTGCCACAGTCACCTGTACAGTCCTGCAGGATGGTTACTGCTGTCCAGATACATAATGGGAGCTCTGGGGAATGATACCCAGAACTGTGACATTGGCTCTGGTAAGGGCTGCTCTGGATTATCTGTTGACTAGACCACAACAATCTGAAGCCCTAAATCTGGGAGTAAAATGAGATGGGGCAATGAGGATTCAGCCAGCAAGTGATTGCAGTCTCAGAGGGTGTCAAAGCAGCATTTCCCCATATCTGACTGTGTGTGATTCCTCACAGTATTTAGCCCTCTTCTTGCTAGCTATTGGGATGGAAATCCATTCCTGTCTTCTCCCATGTGTGAAGAGGTTTTGGAATGCCTTGCCTTAACCTCGCCTCGGTTTTCTTTCCTCAGCTTATCAGAATTACTTCTGGAAGGGCTGCATGCCGGGAGCAGAGGGCAACATGTGCAAGGTGTGCATTGGGGACAGTGAGGTGGAAGGGGCCCGAGTCTCCAGCAGATGTGCTGCAGGTCACAATGAACATTACTATGGCAACATGGGAGCGCTCAGGTGAGCTTGTGGTCAGAGTCAGAAATGCAGAGCAATAGCCAGAATTGGATTATTATTTTGCTGATGATTTCCTTGGAAAGTTTTTTCCTCCTTTTTGTTGAGCAACTGGCTGTATAAACTTTTGCCAGAGTGTATTTTGTTTTGGTTGCGGTTGCTATGGGATATTTAGCTGACTGGTGATTTAAAATAGTCATGAAACCATTTCTAGAGCAAGGCAATGCTTCCAAACATGTCGGGCTTAGAACATTGGTACTGATTCATTAAGGGGAAGGATTGAAAGATAGTTCAGAGGTCAGAGAGCACAGGTGATGTGGAAGGAAACAGCGTAGGATACAGGAGGTAATTAGACTGGAGATACCAAAAAAATAGTTGAAGACAGAAGCAGAGAAGAGTCTTAAAGGTGAAAGCACTCTTAAAAAAAGATATATAATGCATTTAGTTGAATTACATTCTCTTTCCTGCCTAGGCATGGGCAAAGGTGGACATTGTACCACAGCTTTGGCTTGGGAGCTGCTGCAAGGGATGAAGGGATTGTCTTAGCAAATATGTGAACACATATGAGATCCATACTGACATCACTAACTTGTTCCATGTGACAGCCAAGTTATTACAGATGGAAGGGATGCTTCCAGCTACTCCTGTTTTAGCTTCAGCTGACTGTCCAAACGTCAGTCATCGGGTAGTGGCTGTCTCTGATCACTTCTTGGTTTTTTCCTGCACTAGGTGCCTAGTTGGGAATCCCAGTGGAAGAAGCTTTGGAGATGTAGCTTTCCTGGAACACTCTAACCTGCTCCAGAACATAGAAGGTGAGATGCAGATATTCTCTTTCCCTTTGAGAATGTTCCTTAGCATCAGTCACTTCCCACAAAGTGACCATCACTTGTGAGGGTCAGTCTTTACAGGTTTAATCTGGGTCCATGGAGTGGTGTTTGTGACCAGAAAACTGCAAGAACCTTCCTGCATGTGGATGTTCCAGTAAAGCTCAACACTCAGATACTGTTAGAGAGGAAAGAGGAAGAATTCCTGAGTGCAAAGATCAGTGTGTGTTAGGGGATAGTCATCCTTGGAGACTGCACTAATTTTTGGAAAGCTCAAAGCTTTAAAAAGCAGGGGATTTTCCCACCAGCCCTTCTCCCACAGGCAGCCAAAGTGCAGGTACCCATTGTTTTTAAATCAGAGTTTCCAGAATGAAAATGGCAAGTAAGGGCAGTGCTGTGGGTGTTTGTGCTGGGAGATGTTCTGGGGCTTCACTGTGACATGGCAACTTCCTTATGTTGTTTCACAGGCACTTATGGGATAAACAGGTTTAACAGCTTAATAGGCAAAAGCACTGCAAATTATTTTGCCTTTCACAGTTTCTAAAATAGCAATGTTACTACACTGTGAAATATTTGATTTCCTCTGGGAAACACTGATCTTTGCAACAGTCTAGCAATTGGATTTTGTTGATCAAAATGATTTTGGTTGCAGGAGCTTAAATCCCCTCAGTCTCTTAAATGATGTTTATTGCTCTAACAGCCCAAACATGCTTTTCATAGAGTCGAGGGGAAAGGGAATCCTCATTTTGTTCAGCCTGATGAAGCACACTGAAATTCTATTTTAGGCAATTTCAGTAACAGAAGAGACTTCTCAAAGAGAAGAATGTCTCTAAAATCAAGTGGGGGTGTAAGGGCCTGGAAACCCCAAGGAATTCATGCAGCAATGAGCAGTTTGTTTGGGGAAGCAAAGGACATGCAGGCCAAAGTGCTTTGTTTCCAGAAAGGGATCTGGTCACAGATGAAGATGAGACATGATAGGCCTTGATATTACTCTGGTTTTAGTTGATAGGCACAGCTTAAGTTCACTGACCTGTTTCCTCAGTGCAACCACTACCCTGGTCCTTGTGCATTCCCAATAAATGACAACACAGATGCTGCGTCTGTTTGGAACACACTGACTAAGCTTCTTCCTCTCCATTTTTAACATTTTCCATGAGATTCACCCTGTCTTCTGCTTTACTTTTTCAAAAGAATTTGCTTTCACTTCGTTTTCTTTTTAGATCTGGACAGCTCTGGTTGGGCCAAAGGTTACACTGCCCTTGACTTTGAGCTGCTGTGCCCGGACGGGACCCGTGCGGCAGTCACCGAGTGGCCAGGGTGTCACCTGGGCCCCGTCCCCCCCAGCGCTGTCATGACCCGCCCAGTCACTGTCACTAAGATCTATGACTTCCTGATGCAATCCCAGGTAAGGCAGGGAACAGGGAAAAGCTTGGCTTGTTATCACCTGTTATGTACAACTCCTGAAAGCCCTGTCAAGATCAAAAGCTTTCTATACTGCACACATAAAGTGCCTTCAGATCCAATACGAAAGAATTAAAAATGTGCATAGGGTGTTAAGAAAATAATTATTTGGGTTCTCTAAAGGGGTATTTTGGCACCAGTTTCCATTCAGCAGTGGCCACACTTTTGCTGAAAAATAAGGCACTGCAAAACTGCATCTTCTTGTACCAATAAGGACAGTGCTAGATAAATGTGGACCCTTCTTTCTGCTATACCTAAAATTGAGAGACACCAGCTTAACCTTCCTACTTCTCATCCAAGCTGTGAAACTTACTTCTTTGTTTAGGAATCTCTGGGAAGCAAATTGGATTCTGAATTCCAGCTCTTTCAGTCGTGGAGGTTCGGTGGAAGTGATCTGCTTTTCAAAGATGCTACTCACTACCTCGTTCCTGCAAGTCACCTGAGCTATCAGGAAATCCTTGGAGATTCTTTCATCCAGCTGGCAGAATCAGTGTTTAATTGCACACCTGCAGGTAAAGTCAAATCCTTAATTCTGAGTTAGAAAAGGCAGCCCTCTGTGCACAGCTATTGCCCTGTTGTTTAGGCTGCGTGGGAAAGTCTGTTCTACATAATCCTGTTAGTAATAATTTCCCAAGGAGTCCTGTGTTTGGAGCTCCTTTAGAACCTCTTAAAGCTCCTGTCTCAAAGCACTGAAAGTGGAGCTTTGCAGAAACAGAGTAACCAACACATTGTAGAGCAAATATGAGGTTATTGAAATAGGACTGTTTTACTTCACTCTGAATTTTTTCCCCTTCAATTCCAGAGATCAGTTCGGGAAAAAGGACATATAATGTTCATTTGTATATGCCAAACTTGGGGAAAAAGATAAGAAATTTTATATTTAATTATTGAATTAACCTCAAAATAAGTTAAGTAATTTCCTTTTTTAAAAGATCACACTATAGAGATTAAGATCAAAACCTTTATAAACTCATCCCTTAAGGTGGCTTTTTCATTATTTTCCACTGAAAACTGTCTGAAGTGTGAAGTGTGCATTTAGCTGTCAGCAAAACTGGCACTGCCTATGGATCTGAAAATCTGTATTGAAGTAAATGAAGGTTACACATGAAATTAGACTTCTGGGAGTCTAAGTTGTTAAAGAACTGAAATTCAAAAGGGAAATTTTACCTCTGTGTTAATGACTTTTACTTGAAGAATTTATTACTTTTAAAGCTGATAGCATCTTTAGGTATTTTCTTTCTGGTTTGTAGGCATCCTGGACTTCTGCAAACAGGATATCTGTGCCTCCTCATCCAACTGACAGTGATACAGAGGCTGTCCAAGGCACATCACCACATCGCCATCATTATTGAAAACCAGGAAATGTGCAAGTCCAACCCATCCAGAGCAATCAGCAAGGAAACAGGCATCTCTAGAAATGTGTGCTGAATACCTTCTTGTCTTTTTTTTTTAAGCAGGTTTGATGTTTATGGTAATGTCAAACTACCCCTTTCCTGTTTGGAGCGCGGCAGCACAGGGAACAGCACAGCCAGAGGACAGAAGTAGGATCAGCAATTCTCTACAACTACTCTGGAGAAATCAGCATTTTTATGGAAATAGCAGGGCCAATACCATGGACTAAAATACAGACTGGCATCAGTAGCACAGGTTAGTTGGTAGCATTTTGCCTTGCTTGTCTTATAAAGAGTTTCAATGCAACCTCCCCCCTCAGTCAACTGACATTTTGGTAACTGCAGCATTGTTCTCTTGTATCTGTGATTTTGTTGCAGCCAGATAGTCCTGGCAGAATGCACATATATGCCATAGGCTGTATATGTAGTTACTATCAGACCAGTGGTCTTTTCTGCTTTTAACTGGGAAAATGTATTTGCTTTTTTAACCAAAGATTTTTACTACTAAATGAAACCAATTTTTTTCTCACTAATAAATGTATTAAGGCATTTAAGAGCCAGCAGAACTGGATGCTTGCAGCCTTAAGGTGAAAAAAAAAAGCAATGGATATTCATCCTTCTCAAAACCTCCAACCATTATTTTTTAGTACTTTGACACTTTGAATGTAAGATTCTATGAATGGTCAAAATATTACTGCCTTTCCTTCCTGGAGCTTCCATGCCCTCTGCAGGGCCCATGGAATACTGCACCTCGGAGAAGGCAGCTCTGAGAACAATGAAGAAATGCACCTGGAGCTTAGCTTTGCTAAACTGATCAGTGATCAACTGAAAATCTGGGTTATACACAGCATTTTAGGGGTTGGAAGGGCAGGAATGCCATTTTCTGACACAGACAGTACAGGCCTTGGTGATGTTCCTGTGCTCCAGCTATGATTCCCAAGCATCAGTGATGCCTTGCACAGCCTGGACCACTGGCCAGCTCCAGCCTGGAACCTCAGCTCTGAGCAGAGCAGGAACTGGCCGTGCTCTTGGGCTCCTACTAGTCTGCTATCTCAAGAGATGGATGCAGCCTCAATGCTGTGAATAGATCATGCTTAAAATCATGCTTAAAATTCCTCTTCAGGTGTGGCTGTAAATGAAGGAACACCAAAACTGCTGCTCTGTGCATCACCAACACCCTGTTACTTAACAGTGTCCATCTTTTTGCAGATTTGACCTCTTTCCCCCGTGTATGCAGGACATGTATCATGCATGTTTACCCATACAAGCCTGAAGGCCTTAAAAAACTGAAAGGTTCTCAGAAAAATTTATTTCCATAAATTAAAAACACACACAAAAGAAACAGTAAAATTTTAGATTCACACAATATTGAACAGAAACAAAATGCCAAGAGCATGATGGAGGCTAATGGCACAAGTGTACAAATTCTCATGGAGCTATTTGTTAACGTGATAGCATCATACAGATTTTCAATCCACAGTTACCATCCATATGCTAGAAAAGCACCTGGAACATAATATACCAAAGGCCCACCTGTAATCCAATACAATGAGAACTGCTGGCAGGAATTCATATCCAGCAATCATCAGAACTCAAATGTACACAGCCAGGCTAATGCTGTACCATACATTAAGGAGCCTCAGCTGCTCCAGTCATAGCATGATGAAAATAACATTTTTTTTTCTTGGAAAGTGATCTTTTTATCTCTCATAATCAGCAAATCTAGCAAAGAGCTGCCTGGCTCTCCATAACTTACTACTAAGAGACAGGACATGGCAAAAGCTTTGCAATCCTTCTCGAGCTGCTCTAGTCATCACTCTGTGAGCAAAGATATACAATGTCTTTCCATGGTGATACTAAAAAATCCTCACTGGAGTGGGTTCACTTGATGAAAAGGCAAATGCACACATCCTCCAGCTACAGCCCCTCTATCCTTTTTTCTTGCAGTTCTCTGTGACAGAAGCAGCTCAGAGTGGCCAATGCCCAGGTTTTGCACAGTCCCCACTCCCAGTGTGCAAGCAGCAGCCCCAGGGAACAGGCTGTTCCAGGAGTGCTGTGAACAGCAACAGAGGTGGGAAAGGAAAAGAGAAAAAAGTGCACAAGCACAACTGACACCTGTTTGCTGGCGGGGGGGAGATGCTTGGTCTCCATTAGCTCACATCATCATACAGACACTGAACCAAAAGAGAATAATGCTGGATATTTGGGTTGCCACAAACTAAGGTCTGGGACAGGCTAAGCAACTGCAACATTTTGTAACTCCTTCAATTACTGTAAACCAAAGAGAATTGAGTGTTTTCTTTGCTCTCTCTGCTGTAGCTTGTAGAAAGCAAGCTAAGAAATGTTCTTTCAAAGCAATCAGAGACAAGACAGAACAGAGAGGCAGATAAAAAAACCCCACCCAAAACAAACAAACAAACCCCAACGTAACCCAAAGGAAAAAACCTAACACATTCCATGTTTTAAAGTACATTGGAGTACTTTTCCTGGACCCAAGTTTCTTCCCTCCCCACCCGTATCTTTATTTCCATAAAGCCCCCACTAAGGTTACAGCTCAATTGTGTCACAGCACTGGAAGCCTCCCATATTAATAGAAGGTGAATGTTCTGTAACAATCCCATTTTATAGCATAAATCCATAAAAATATATCTCTCACTCTTGCTACCACTTCCAACCAGTCCATAATTGGGCTAATAAACCAGGATAGGGAAAGATTCAAACATTTTTTAGGAGGCAGTCAACCTTTGTTTTTTAGGGATTTCTTTTTATAAAAATAAAGAGGATCAATTAGAATGTTCTACAGCAGCCTAACAGCTTAACCAGAAAAATAGTATGTCAATATGTTCAAGCTTTGCCTGCCTTGTTACTTTACCCTCAAACTCCAAACCCTACTCTTTCAAGTGTGCACTCCTCTCTTTTCTTCAGTCTTCCTGATTAAAGATAATTACCCTTAAAAACAAGAATGTAAACCTTTGGGAATCCCAGCACATAAGTTGGAAGCAAAACCAACCAGATTAGACTTCTTTCAAGACTCAGGCACACACAGTGTAATAATCCTCTTCCATTTCTCTACTTTCAAAGCTCTGAAATTTAACAGATTGCTTGATAATTTTTAGTTTTCTGTTTGGTCAGTAACAGAAGTGGTAGAGCAACAGAAGATAATTATAGTATTTTCAGTCCTGCATTTATTGGGACTTTATAAAAAATACCCACCCACTAATATTTGCTCAATTTGAAGGTAAATAGAAACTCTATTACACGGGCAGGTAAATAAGAAAGTGCAAGTTCAAGTGAAAGAAAGAACAGACTAATTCAATTTGAGCATCCCAGGAATGACAGCTTTGCCTGAATAACTCCTCTAGGCACTAAGGGACAGAAATGACCTGAACTGCAGCTGGCATTCACCTGGAATTATGCTTCAAGTAAGGGTAACAGAAATTATGCCAGAAGGGAGCTCTCTTCCTTCAAAAGGTAGAGCTGAGAAATTGCCCAGAGCTGCATCAGGGGATTACAAATGGCCTTCCATAAAAAATGTCCATATGCCAGGAGGCTCTTGGTACAGCACTGGCTATTGTGGACAACAGTGTGTACAGAGAGGATCCAGTTAAAAGCTACAGAAATTATAAATCTACAGTGGTAAAAAACCTCTCAAGATGGAAAAAAAATTTCATGTTGACATTAAGTTAATATTTTTAATGGGTTTAAAATAACTTTAAAGCAAGGCCCAAAGATTTTGCTGGTATTCTCTACATGGAGCAGCTCAGTTAAACAGAAATCTCTGCTTATGTATCCTGCAGTTTAACATCCTCATGGGCTTTTCCTCTGGAGAAGAGGTTGGCATCAGCCAAGTAAGTAAAAAATCTACTATTTGGGAAAAAGTAGCACTGGGCACCATTTTGCCTTAAAACATCACCCTTTTTTGAGTTTAATAATGTTAAAAGGTGTCCTCATGCACCAAATAAAGAAACATATACAAAGTGCAAGTTATATAAAGTCTAGTTATGTGAGGCTTCTGCTGCCTGGAGCCAGGAAGGGCACAGAAACTCAGAAGGAACCTTCTAAGTCAACAGAAGGAAGAAACAATTGAATGCAAACCCAGACAGCTACGTTTAATTATTAAAAAGTTAGTGGTATATCAAGAATGTGTTTGCTAGAATTCACCTTTATCAAACACCGCATCTCTTCTGTCACATTGTTCAAAATAGCCATTAATTACAGTAACAACAGCAGACTCAAATGTGCAAATGATCTGGAGTACAGAGTTCTAGCATCACTGAAAGTGCACTACTTCCTCCTTTACACTCCTACTCTACCCCCAAAAGGTGTTTAAACATAATTAATTAAATATAAGCAATATTTTCCAGAGGTTGAGGAAGGAAGGGTAAATTTTATGTGGCTGTGTTACACTCCAATAGGGACTTAAAAGAATCCCTTCAATAGCATTTAAAAAATTAAAAAACAAAATAGCACCTTAAAGAGGGTCACAGCCAAAAACTGATTATCAGATGTTAGAACAGAGTAATGCATGAAGAAGTCAGTAGATTTCTCCCCAGAGGAAAATACTCCAGAGGCTGACTGGACCATTCCCAGCTCCCTGGCTCCCTCAGATGCCGGAGGCCTGCTCCTGCTCCACCTCCTCTGCAAAAAAGGCTTCAAGGGCCATGAGCTTCTGACTCAGCAGCACATCCAGCTCTGCACTCTGCAGTGCAGCCCTTTTGGCTCGGGTGAAAGAACCCACTGCTTTGACTTTGCCTCGTGTCTTCCTTTTCCGGGGAAGAGTAAAGTCCTGGAACTCGAGAATCCGCTTTCTCTTCTGCTGGCTGACAGAAATCAAGTGTCCATTCTTCTCCTTGGGCTCTTCAAAGATTGTTTCCAAGCTCCTGGTCAAAGCAGAGAACACTTGGTGAACACTCAAGCAGCAGCAGCAGCAGCCCCCTTCCATGGACTGAGGGATTGCATAACCCAAGTAAAC